CCCGGGTGCAGCGGGAAGGGCTCCTGCGCCAGCCGCACCTCCAGGTCCCCGCGGCTATAGGGGGCTATAGGGGGATGTATGGGATCTATAGGGGTCTATAGGGGGTATCTATAGGGGTATCTATAGGTACCTGCTCGAGGAGCTCCCCCGGGTGCAGCGGGAAGGGCTCCTGCGCCAGCCGCACCTCCAGGTCCCCGTGCCGCAGCCGGGCCTGGCCGCTCCCGTCCCGCTCGACGCTCCCGTCCGCGCCGCGCGCCACCGGGTGCCGCACCAGGCAGTAGTGGCGCGCCGGGACCGTCACCATGGCGACGGGGCCCAGCACCACCCTGCGGGGACAGGGACACCCATGGGTGACATCCCATGGGACGCCCGTGGGACACCATGGGACTGCTATGGGACACCCATGGGACACCCCAGGGACACCCAAGGGACACCCATGGGACACCCAAGGGACACTCGTGGGACACGGGGACACCCGGGTGACACCCATGGGACACCATGGACACCCCAGGGACACCCAACTGACACCCATGGGACACGGGGACACCCATGGGACACCATGGGACACGGTGACATCCACGAGACACCGATGGGACACAGTGACACCCATGGGTGACATCCCATGCGACACCCATGGGACACCATGGGACACACCAGGGACAGCCAAGTGACACCCATGGGACACGGTGACACCCGGGTGACACCCATGGGACACCATGGGACACGGGGACACCCATGGGACACCGATGGGACACAGTGACACCCATGGGTGACATCCCATGCGACACCCATGGGACACGGGGACACCCATGGGACACCGATGGGACACCTGGGTGACACCGTGGGGACGGTCCACACACGTCACCAGTGTCCCCAGTGTCCCCAGTATCCCCATGTCCCCAGTGTCCCCATTTCTCCCCAGTCCCCCCAGTGTCCCCCAGTGCTCCCAGTGCTCCCAGTGTCACCTCTCGTGGTCCTGGCGCACGTAGCACTGGGGTCCCCGCTCCACGCGCGTCACCAGTGTCCCCAGTGTCCCCAGTCCCCCCAGTCCGCCCAGTGCTCACAGTGTCCCCAGTATCCCCCAGTGCTCCCAGTGCTCCCAGTGTCCCCAGTGCTCCCAGTGTCACCTCTCGTGGTCCTGGCGCACGTAGCACTGCGGTCCCCGCTCCACGCGCGTCACCAGTGTCCCCAGTGTCCCCAGTCCCCCCAGTCCGCCCAGTGCTCACAGTGTCCCCAGTATCCCCCAGTGTCCCCCAGTG